ACCCATAACCAGTAACTATTGATTTTTTTCCCTTGAAAGCTGCTCTCAGGCAGTTGCTGCAGGGCTGCACAGCACCAGCAGAGCAGACAGACCCCAGTAGGGCATGGGATTACACTCCAGCACCACGAGCTGCTGCTCCAGAGGTGCTGGGAGCAGAGCCTGCATCCTTTCATGCCTCCTGTTCCACCCTCTTCTGCAGCATCGCAGTGAGCATCTCCAGGGCTATGTCCTTCACTGGTGCTCCCAGGCAGAAGCCTGAGCTCAAGGGCATCCATCCATGGGAGGGAAGAGGGATTCTCCAGTGTGATTTCTGGCTCCAGGGGGATATTTCCTGGTTCCTTTGGAGGCACAGACAGCACCTGGCCCCAGTGTGAGGGGCTGTGCTGGGCACATGGGCACGGTCCTGTCCATGCTCTGGTGGCACAGCTAGGCTTAGAGACAGCAACAGGAGCTGAAGCCATGACTTTCCTGTTAACTGTCTCACCCTTATTAAGGGAAATTAGATTAATTACATTGTAGCAGGCAATAAATCTCTCCCTGGAGAGACAGGGAGGGGGGCCTGGTCTTGGTGTGCAATGTTAGAATGAGCGGCTCTGTCTAATCCCATTTCTCAGTGTGCGAAGGCTTTGGGCAGGAGCAGGGTAAAGCTCTGTGGTTTATGGGCACTAATTTCTGAGGGAAATAGAGGATTTCTTCCCCACTCTCATCAGAGCCAAGGATGAAATTGCTCTGAAGCCTGCACCCTGTAAGCTCTGCTTCCCATTGCTGTATTTTAAGAGGACGTTTATGCTTTCCCCAGCTCTGATGTGACAGCGGAGCAGCAGCGCCTGCAATTCCACAGTGAGGTCCAGTCACATCACCTTTCATATTATCATGCTGTAAATGACATTCACTGGACAACATCAAACTGATTTGCAGCACAGCTGTGAAAGAAAGCCTGCTACCATCTATGAATAAATTGGATATACTTATTTTGGCCTCCTGAAAGGCTTAAAGTTTCAGGTGTGAGGCTGTGAAAGCCTCACAAGACCCAGCCTGCCTCATGGGCACCTCTTATGGAGGGTGACAGAAGCCTTGGATTGAAGGGACCTTAAAGCTCATCCAGTCCCAGCCCTCTGCCATGGGCAGGGTCACCTTCCACTACAGCAGGCCCTCAGTGATAAGGTTTAGTGGTGGCCTTGGTAGCCCTGCGGTAACGGTTGGACTTGATGATCTTAAAGATCTTTTCCAACCTGGTTCATTCTATGATTCTATGACCTGCAGTCCTTCAGTGCAGAGACAACTTACCTGTGCACAACACTGTGTGGCTCCAATGGACTCATCTCCCTGATGGAGGTTATCTTTTTGCCTCATTAAAAACTGCACATTGCTCAGCTGAGAGCTGCTGGAAGGGAGATGGAAGTTAGAGCAGAGCCACTGTGATGCCCCAGATGCCATCAGGTGACATGGAAACACAGGCTGGGATAGGAGTGGAGAGAGCATCCTGTCCCCACTGAGGAAGGCCCCCCAAAGCTGAGCCCTTACAAAGGGAATAGCATCATGCATCACAGACACTAGGAGCTTGACGCTCTCACTGGTCCCCAGAGAGCCCTCACCGACTCACTTGGAGAGGACACTCATGTAGAAGAGTCAGTTTTTCAGCACAATTCATCCTATTGATTAAGCAAATAACGTCTGGTTTTGAAAATACCTTTTTCTTGTCATTTCCCTCACCCCTGAGGGTTATCCTTGTTTTCAAATGGACTCACAAGTCCCCATGGGTGAGTTCTGGGTGTGCAGAGTACCTTTACAGCTACCTGCAGTCACTGCAATGGAACATTTGGAGATGCAGCCTGTTCAACTAAACTCACCCAAACACCAGATACACATTTCACCTTTGAATTTGCAGTTCTCCCACTCACTTACCTGGAGAGAAGTGAGAACTGATCTGCTCAATGCCTCTTCAAGCGATGCTAAGGAATATTCCCCCTTCTTACGCCTTCAGCTGACCCAGGAGACATGGATTTCTGGTGGAATTCTACAGGTCCGCTGGAGGAGTTGCATGTGCTGTCCTGCACCTTCAAATCCAAAACTGCGTGCAAGAATTGCCTAGAGACAGCTGTAATTTGCTCTAAACTATCATCCCTTCTATCGGCAAGCAGGGAATTGGTATCTGGTCCTTCCTTCCAATGTCACCGAATCAGTGACCACCTGCAAGGTGTCCACGATGATAAACGCTTGCTTTGTATACGGAGCTATTTCTGACAATGCTTGATAGTGCACATCTATCAAATTGCCTGCAAGAGCCACCTATTAGGATCATTATCTAACACAGTCCCTTTGTGGGAGTTCAATGTCAGCACATCCTGGGGACGGTACCTCGCTGGGTACCTTTTGTGCTCATTCTTTCTCTCGATTAAGAGCTGCACATTCCCATTCTCAATTTGGGCTGAACTTTGGGGGCTTCTCACACCCCAGAGCAAAGCTGTGGCACAGACACCCCTGAGCATAGATCAGTGCACAATGTATGGCTGTATCTGCTTGCAACAGGAGCAGATTCAGGGCTGGCTCTATGCAGGAATGCATTTTTCCCTGCAAGACTGTAGTTATCCAGCACAATAAAAGCCCTGTCCTGCTACTACCACCCACTTCCTGCTGGGTCTTATGTTGCTGGAAGTACCACCAGCTCTTCCTTCCGCAGTTTGCTCTTTCCCAAGGGAAACTTACATTGGAAGAGCTCTGGTTCAGACGAGGAGTTCTGATCTTAAGTCAGTGCTCAGCAATGTTTTAACAAACAATGGCCATTACTCCCCAGACCACCCTTCTTACAAGAAAGCCACAGTTGTCAGCCCTGAGCAGAACGCATCGTGGGTGAAATGGCAACCAGGAAAACCACTTTTTCTCTTGGAATCAACCACAAAACACAGGGGCCTTAATTCCTCCTGCAGAGCCTCAATCTACGAACACAAAACACAGACCCTTGAAGGTCAGGTAGTTCAATTCTTGGGAAGAACATAGGCAGAAATGGTATTTCAGGAAGGCACCTCAGTGCCCTCTAGCCCACCCCAAGACCGGCTCTGCTTAGGTCAGTCCCCAAAGCCATGCCCACAGCATCTCAGGTGGCACAAGCCAACATCAGTCTCTTTCTGTAGGCAGAACTGCTCCAGCCAGCAATGGGCACAGCCTCTTCCAACCTGACAGAGCAGTTATTTCTCTCCATTGCTCTTTATTTCCCATCACTCAGTTTAAAGAGCAGTTCAGACTACAGCCAGGCTAGCATACAGGTAACACTAAACCTCCCCCAAATCCACAAAACCAGACAGCTTCCCTGCATTGCCCCCATAATCCTTGAACTGGAGAAGTAGGTTCCACGTTAAACAAAGTGCAACTGCCAAGGCCCAGAAGTGATGGCAACAATTTACACGAGCAATAAAACTGCATAAACCTAAAATACAGCTTACCCCCGTTGCAGAGGAGCACATGCTGCAGACAGCATGCAAAATGGATTTAGGTGATGAATCTGTTTAGCTATTAGCTGCCAGACAGCTTTAATTCATGTCAGATACAATTAACTCAGTCTGACAATGGGAAAAGGAAGCTTGAATATTAACAGCCCTGTTGTTTGCATTGTGCTGGGAATGCCATGTGCTGGCAGTACTGCCTCTGGGAATCACAGAATCATTATAGAATGGTTTGGAAGGGACCTTAAAGCTCATCAAGTTCCAACCCCCTGCCACAGGCAGGGACACCTTCCACCAGAGCAGCTTGCTCCAAGCCCCTGTGTCCAACCTGGCCTTGAACACTGCCACGGATGGGGTAAAAAGGAACCTTGACCTATGCCACCTCCATGCTCTACAGAGCAAAGTCAGCTTGCCAACAACCCCAACAAGTACCAACTGAGATGCAGCCATAACCCTCCAAGTTCTGCAGATTCATCTTCTCCCAAACTTCCAGGTGTTAAACACTTATTTTTCAAGGATTTTTTTTTTTTGCTGTATGTATAAGTAATATCTTAATTCCGTAAGAACATTGGTTAACAGAATTCGTAGTTTACAATATTGCCACCTGCAGTTAGGACTTAGAATTGATGCATCCAATTCCAATGACAAGTTCCCAAGGGGCTACATTTAAAAGTGAATTTTCATGACTCTGAAGCAGGGCAAGATTTCTCTTTCCTGTAAGCAATGGGGAAAAGCCCCACATTAATGACTGAGGAAGTTAAAACAGCATTTACTCAATATGTCTGTTTGTCAAAGAGATGCACTGAACGAACTCGATTTAGATGAGAAGAAAGGGCAAAACAATGTTTTGACTAGGTCAAGCTTTCCTCTTCCCTGTCTATACTTGGTTCCAGGAGCATTGCTTCTCCTAAAGGTTTCAAAGGGGGTGTAGGAAGAGCAAAGTTCTCTCACATTAGTGATATTCCAGTAGCTCGAAGGTTACCCTCAGTAATCTGGTTGAGCCACAGCACAGCTGATTCTATTGAGTTTCAGCAACTCCAATTCTTTATTTCTTTTAAAACAATAAAATGCACAAGTTCTTTATACAAACCTCAAAGCCAGTTAAAATGCAACGGCTACTATAAGAATAAAAGCATTGAGATTCATGGCAGCATCATGAACTACAAGAATCTTTCCATTTAGCCCCAGGCACCAGCAATTTGCCTTTTGCCTCAGTTTGTAAGCTCATCTGCAGAGAAAGGACATGCCTGGAAGGAAGCGCTTCAAATCTGAACCATTGCTTTCTTTCCCCAGTCACTTGTGTCCACTGCTTAAGTCTTCTGTGAGATACCAGAATAGCTTTTCTGCCTAGGCTGTTGGTCTGCAAGCCCATGATAACTGTATCTTGGTCTCAAACCTTAAAGGAAATAGGGAACAGAGTACCTGCCCCCCCTGGCCCTGAAAAACAAGAATGAAATCTATTCTAATCCCATTACATACTACAGGTAGAAAAATTAGTTAACCTCCCTTTTCTAAGTTAATGGAAGACACAATTAGGACAAGAACTAAAGGTAGCAGTCCTAAAGGTTACATTCTGTATTTACAGAGGGATGTCAATATCCACTGAGTTTCATCTGTGGGTTTTTGTAGCACTGCAGGCTTGTGCGAGACGACCCTAGAAAGAAAGGGAAATGAGTCAGTGCTCTAAGACACCAATATCCCACAGCCATTTACAACTTCTACTTGAAGGAGAAGACACCTTCAGTTTTGATTCAGCTTTCCAAGAGCATTGACAATAGTTCTTTTTCAAGAAGCACATGGTTTATTTACAGTTTGTATTAAGCTAGATGTGATGTAAAGCTACTCTGTCTCCTCCCCTTCTCAGTTCATGCTTCTTGACCACTGATATGAGCCAAAATACAAGGCAGGGCAGGGAAAAATAAGGAGCTCCTATTATAGTTCAGGAGTTCAGTGACTAATACCAGAATGACAACACTGCCTTGTGACTTCAGGCTACGACTGACAAAAATACATAGACTTACTGATAGCTTCTGCATAAATCCTTGGGCCTCTGCATTCAGATGAAGAAGATTATTCTTGGTCACATCACTTGCTGCTAAACGAATGCACTGTGGAAAACAACAGCCAGATCTTAGCTTTTCTGTCCTTAGAAAGCTGCAGTAGTCAGAAGCAGCAAATAAATTCAATTAGAAAATAAAAGCAAATAAACCCCAAGCATACCAGGAGACTGTGTACAGGCAGAGACTATGTTAAGCTTGACCAGAAGCTCATCTCATACCTTCCTTGCAGTGCATTAACACATGACTGCCAGCAGAAGCTACTTTAAATGCAACTTAAACACAGAGCAGCCATCATTCTACATTCTGTTTTGACCAGCTTGAAGAGCTCACACTTCTTAAAAGTCTTTGAAGGTTCTTTTTATGTTAAATCTATCCATCCCTTGATAAACTGCAGTGGCACAACTAAACAAACAAGAGTGGATGAACTGAAACTAGTAAGGCCCCTTCCCACCCCTCTAAAAAGAAGTTGCAAGCTATCTCTTCAGCACTGATTCAAGTGCAGATTCAAGTTTGTGATTTACCTCCCCTCCTCCCACAGGGACTGTGATGAAGATATCATTGATGTCAGCAAGGGGGCTGCCATTGGCAGAGACGGTGTAAACACGTTCGTGTGCTGCAGGTGCGCGCAACCCCGGTGTCTTGAAGATGCTGAAACAAAAGAGTTAGAGGTAAGAAAGGGCACTGCAGTTGCTCAAAGCACTTTGACTCAAAGTCTTTCATTTCAGGTTCAAGGAGCCACTAAGGATTACATTGCCAGAAGATGACAGCATAAGAGATTAACAGAAATTCATCAGAAGGCAAACCTGGGATCAAATCTGGGTGTGATCATGGAGGAACCTCCCGGAGCACAGAGATCAACGATTCTGCCAGTAGCTGGAGTGATAAAATTGGTTTTGCTTGATCTGTTAAAGGGGGAAAAAAACCAAACATTTGCTTGTAAGAATCCTTTTAACAACTGTGCAAGCGTTATCTTACCAAAGACTTGAATGAGGTTGTCACCACAGAAAACCAGAGGTTCTCGCTAATCAGAGTTAAACCCCAAAGCTAGGGGTAGCTGCTCACCACAGAATGGAAAGTTGCCCATCTTTCATTCACTGTTAAATCCCATTTTTTCCTATAGGATGGCACAACTACACCCACCAGCCTACTAAGCCAGTCCTTTTCAGGGTTGTGTTAGCTCTTTACACTTACTCTCCATTTCTGAAACCCAGCACAGAAGATATCCCCTATTACCTTTTGTTTGTGCGCTCCTCTCTTGCAGGAGCTCTTCTGCTCCTGGATGCTGGCACTTTTTTAGTGGATGCCTTCGCCTGAAACACACATTACGCAGCAAATCAGTCACCTCACTCTCGTGTGACAGCTGAGTCCACATCAGCAGAGGCTTCCATACAAACTGCTTGGCTCCACAGGCTCCTTTTCAGGCACAAGAGTCCACAAACAAACACCGAAGAAGCTTCCGTAACCTTCCCCTATTGCTACAACTTTCAAGGAAGTGATAGATGTTTTAAAGACCCCCAGAAGTGGGGATTCACCAACACTGGACACTGTTGAGTTCTGGCTGGACAGGGTGCTGGGACATCTAAGTCTAAGCCATGCTTTGCCTAGAAAGGTTGGACCACATTATCCTTGAGGTCCCTTCCAACCTGGGATTCTAGGATTCTACAGTTCAAGGTATCCCACCCAACTCTAGTGTCGTAAGCGTTGTCTCCATAAGTAATTCACACTTTGGGAATAAAGGCATCACAAAAACTAGCTATTTACCTTTCCAGTTGTTAGATTAATGCTTTTAGCTTCTGACTCTGGAAGACACTGGCTCTCATGTTTTGCCTTCTTTGTTGGAGGAAGCAAAGGAGACTCAGCTTCTTCTTGAATAGCTTCAATATGCTGTGGCAATTTTCCCCCTAGAAAGTGTTGCCCAAGTTGAAAATAAATAGTAACTTGCAATTATTAGTTAGCAGAGGAGGTAAATAGCAAACAACAAGCTTTTTGAGCAACAATTTGCTTGCAAAATCTAAATCCCAGTGTCATCCAGATGGTTGACAGAGCACTATTTGGAATGTTTTAATAGAATTAAGCAGAGCTCCTGCAGATAGCAGGGAGAAAACTAAGATTGTTTGCATGGTTTTAAATATATTGACGAACATAAGTAAGAACGGGGCTGTTACTCACAGTCTGTAAACCCTGCCATGCCTCCATCTCATGGCACTCACCACAATGTTTAGAACAAACTCACCTTGTTTGGTGACCTTGAAAGGAGTACGGCGAACTTCTGCTGCCAACTTGTTTATTTCTGGTATTTCCAAGTCTGCCTACAATTAAAACCAGTCACAAGACCATTAGGGCTCTCAGTAGGATATAGTTCTGACAGGCAGCAAGAATATCTTTGTGCTTTCTGTTGTGCTTTAAACTGGGATGTTCCCCAGTTATTCTGGAGGTGATAGTGACACTCATCTGCATGCCATGCAGGACTAATACACTTATGCTACAAGTGTGCTTCACCTGCGTGAAGGTGTGAACATAAGTGTGCTACAAGGGTGCACCCTGCTGCCCAACCAGCTTAGGAATGCTTTCATTGATTGAAAGGTGTGCGTGCTGTCAGGGATGGGAGAGAAATCAAGCAGATAAGGGAAGACGCACATGGAGCAGCAGGAGCATAAAAAACCCATACTCCATATAGCAGAGTGTTAGGTTTCACAGCAACACTGAGGGAAGTATTTGTGTATCCTCTGCTATAGCAACACCCCAACAGACTCAAGAAACCCTTCCCTGTCCACAGTGGTATGCCACAGTATCAGAAAAGCTAAAGATTTATGCTAGAAACCTACCACTGCTGTCAGTTCCAACAGCTTCTTGCATCCTGCTTTAGCTAAAAAGAAAAGATTTATTAGAAAAGCAAGACATATAAAAGCCATAGCCCCAAACAGCATACACAGATATACTTAGTAAGTTACCACTAGGGTGCAGAAAACCAGCAAAAACCAGTTTGGGGGCACCGAGGGAGCTGGGCAGTGCTGGAATCACAAAGCACATAGATTGGATATAAGGAAGATCAGATATAAAGAAGACATATTGGTATATATGGATATAATTTTAGACTGGATATAAGGCAGAAGTTCTTTCCTGTAAGGGTGCTGAGGCACTGGAATGGGTTGCCCAGGGAAGCTGTGAATGCTCCATCCCTGGCGGTGTTCAAGGCCAGGTTGGACAGAGCTTTGGCTGACATGGTTTAGTGTGGGGTGTCCCTGCCCATAGCAGGGGGGTTGGAACTGGATGATCTTAAGGTCCTTTCCAACCCTATTCTATGATTCTATAGATGAGACCTGTGGGGAAGTGGTGGGGAAGTGGTGGGCAGCGCTGGGGAGGGGTTGGACTGGGTGAGCTTAAAGCTCTTTTCCAACCCAACTGACCCCATGAGCGCAGTGCTCCCGCGGGCCTCTTGCTGGGTAGGGGTGAAGGGGCCGGAATGGATCCCGGCGGCTCCGTTATTGCCGTTGGTTTCAAGTACCGAAGGCAAACCGCGCCCCGCCAGCCCGGATCCCCGTACCGAAGAACTCCAGCCAGTTCATCTCGCGGAAGGCCACGGGCAGCCGCAGGATGTGCATGTCGTACATGTCCTCCGCCTCCTTCACCAGGCGCTCCCCGTTAGCTTCCAGCCGCGCCAGCCGGCTCTCCACTGCGGGGCGGGGGCACACACACGGCGTCAGCCCCGGGGCCCGCTGCCCCTCCCGGGCCACGCTCCCACCACCACCCCCGGTCCCGCGGCCTACCCTCACGGTCGAAATCCTTCAGGAATGCCTCCAGCTTCCTGCGGCGAGCGACCGCGCCGGGGTTCTTCCTGGCGGGGGCCATAGGAACGGGAACGAGACCGGGATCGGAACCGGGATCGGGATCAGGACCGGGACCGGGATCGGGATCGGGATCGGGATCAGGACCGGGATCGGAATCAGGCTCGGGACCGGGACCGGGACGCGGAGCACTGCCGCCAGCCGCGCGTTCAAATGCACCCAATCAGAGCTCAGCGCGGGGCGATGACGAACCGGTGCTTCCGGCCCGGCGCGTTGCCATGGCGCCGGGGCTGTCGGCGATGGCGGCGGCCTTAGGGCCCTGCGCGGCGGCCGTGGCCCGGCAGGACGCGGCCTGGCGGGAGGCCGTGGCCGGGTGCGCGCCGCCGCTGGGCTCGCTGGCCGGGCTGGCGCCGCAGATGCGGGCGGCAAAGCGGCTGCCGTGGGGCCTCTCCCCGCTCGGTGCCTTCGCGGACTTGCCGGAGCGGCTGTGGCGGAAGCAGCGCGGAGCGGCCGAGGCCCTGCTGGAGCAGCTCGGCAGCCGGCGGTGAGGCGGCGGGGCCGGGCCGGGCCGGGCCGGGCCGGGTGGGGAGTGCGGGGCTGCGGCTGAGCGCAGCCCGCTTTGCCGCGCAGGGCGGAGCTGCGGGCCGTGCGGGACGCGGTGGGGGCCGCTGTGGCCGCCGTGCTGCGGCTGTACGAGGAGCGGGCGGCGGAGCTGGGCCTGGACGTGGTCCTGCGGCGGGGGCCGCGCTGCCCATCGCTGGCCGACGCGCTGGAGGGGCTGCAGGACGTGGAGCGCCACTACCGGCACCTGTATCCTTCAGCGGTGGGGCTCCGTGGGCAGAGCTGGGGGGGGGTGGCTCTGTCCCTTTCCCATCCTTGTTGGGTTCCTCTGCCTCTTTGTTGTCCTTACCGGGGGTGAAGGTACCTGGAGATCCAGCTTTTCCTCCTCCGCATCAGCTGTGAGAGCCTGGCAGACATGGAGACCCTCCCGCAGTCCTGGGAGAAGATTCTGGAGCGCTACAAGGGAGACGTTGTTCAAGGTGGTTCCGCTTTCAGCAGCCGAAGGGAGCCTTCCTTGAGCTCCTTGGTGATGGCTCCGCACTGGAGGTCCCACGCAGGCCTTGCGCTGTGTGTTGGTCTTGGTCTGGGTGGCAGTGGGTGACCTGGCTTGGTTTGCAGTTGGGTGTTGTGACCATGAACAGCTTCAGTCGTAAATACCATCACACGCTGGCTCAACGGGAAGCAATGCCCTTCCTTGAAGTAAAACTAGGGGGTTGGAGAGCCATTGCACTTGGTCTGCTAAGTTGGTTGTCCTTAAACTTTTCTTTATTACTATTAGAAACAGGGTTGATTTTTGTGCGTACAGAATACAAAGTGCATTAAGCTAACGGGGTTGTTTTCTTCCTTCCACCTCAGATACTCTTCTGAAGATCTCTCTGTTTGTGGACAACCAGCGAGAGCTGTGCAGCTCAGCAGGCTCCTGACAGAGAACAGGAGGGGCTGATGCGGACCAGGTTCTGTGACAGTCTGGTGTGCTCCAAGATGGCCTCAAAGAGGAGGAGGATGAACTGAGGAAGCTTCACTGGTGCATTTTGGAGGCTGAATGAGCCGAGGACTTGGCCTGAGCAGGAGATGGTTGGGCTGTTCTGTTTTCAAGTGGAAATGGACTTGATATCTGCCAATAAATGGGTGTAATGTAATGTCCTGATACCATGTAAGAAAGATGTTTAGGTGCTGCCCTTACAGATAAATAAGATGTTAAATCAGGGCTTAAACTCAGTTTGCACCTTGTGCCTCTCAGCAGTGTGTTTGCTTTCATCCCACCTGCACATGGATTTGACAAGGAAGGAGTTTGAACGTTTGTAATGCTGGAGGTGCACAGACACCCGAGTTCTCAGAGAAGGCCAAATAAAGAATGGTGCTTGGACAGGGTGGAGCTGTGCTCTGCTCCCTGGTTTAGCGATGAAGTGGCTCTTGGAGCAGGGAATGTGACCACCTGAGGGCACTGCTCGACCTGCAGAGAGCAGCACTGGGGGCCCCGGTGGCTGTGCGGCGCTGGGGCTGGGTGTCCCCCCTCCTGCCAAAAGATCTTCTTGGGATGATGCTTTATACCCAGTTCCAATTGCAAAGGAAAATAACGTGAGCCATACACCACTGTTCTGAGCTGCTCACTTGGCCATCCCCTTCCCCGGGAAGTGAAACATGGAGTCCCCCTCTTGCTGCTTCAGCTTAAGATGAAGCAGATGATGCACTCGAGATACTGGTTTGGCAGATAGGCCAAGAATGCAGCTTTGTTTAGCAAATGGCTGTACAGCAGTCTCGCTGCAGACACTTCTGCATGCAAAGCACTTCCCCTCCTTCTTGAGTGCCTTTGTCTCACCGTGACTTGTCACTGACTCATGGTGTCAGCGCGCTGCTGATGCCCTGGGTTGCATCACAGCACTAGTTCAGCGTAAGGCATTTATTTTCCTGTCCACAGCAGAGTGAGCAGTTTCATCTAATTTCCTTTTCCAGGGCTTTGATTCCAGCTGTAAACTCCCAGCTCTAGGGATTCACATCCCGTGTTTCAGTTCCAGTCAATGAAGGAGCACAGGTAAACTTGCTTAGCCATTGCCTGCTGCTGGTGTTCAACCCCTGCACCTTCCCTAGGGATGTCACTGACTTCTGATGTTAACAAGGGGTCAATATATGCCTTGGATGACACAGGTCACAGTAGGTTTATGTAGGTGCCCTCCAGCTGAGGGCTGGTGGGTGGAGAGGCCACCAGGCTGAAATCCAGCTGACAGTGCCTGTACAGCCTTGTGTTCATGAAATGTGGCTTGAAGAGCACGGAGACAGAGCACAGCATCCCAGCCTGGTTTGGGTTGGAAGAGACCTTAAAGCTCTTCCAGCTCCAACCCCTGCCACGGGCAGGGACCCCTTCCACTGGAACAGCTTGCTCCAAGCCCCTGTGTCCAACCTGGCCTTGAACACTGCCAGGGATGGGGCAGCCACAGCTTCTCTGGGCACCCTGTGCCAGCGCCTCAGCACCCTCCCAGGGAAGAGCTTCTGCCTAAGAGCTCATCTCAGTCTCCCCTCGGGCAGGTTAAAGCCATTCCCCTTGGCCTGTCCCTACAGGCTATTGCCCAAAGCCCCTCTCCAGCTTTCTTGTAGCCCCTTTAGGCACTGGAGCTGCTCTAAAGTCTTTCCAGTGCCTTTTCCTTCTCCAGGATGACTGCAGGGTGAACCCTGCGGTGTCATCCTTCTCAGGCCTTGCCGAGTCAACATCATAAAGCAATAAATGGTGGTGTTCAAGGATGCAGAGTCATGTTTACATGTGCACACACTATACAGCCCTTCAACACCCCTCTCTTCTGTCAGTCGGTCTTCAGTACAGCTGCATAAAGAACAAATGGATTTCAATTTTGGAAGGTCTTCACAGGAGTTCAGTGGTGGCCCTTCTGCTTCTCCCAGATGTTTGTCCCACTGATGTCTGGCTGTGGGCTAACAACAGCCCTGCTAAAAGTGCTGAGAAGGGTTTCTGAATTAAAAGTGGCCATGACCTGACTGAGTGACTGAAATGGGTTGAAGGATGTGCTCACTGAAGTCTCGCTATGATTAATGGCTCTGCACTGTTTCTGGCTGGTGGGCCATGTCATCAGTTGCATTTGTCTGCAGTGTTCTGGAAGAGTACAACTGAACCTCAGCATCAGAGCACTCTAATTGGAGACAACTGTGGGTTTGTTCCACTTCAAGATCTGGATGTTACAGCTCAGGATGGCTGCCAAGGTCCCCAGTTGCTAACAAGAATGTGGTTCCTTGTGAGTGTGAGACTCCCCGCAGCTAGCATTCACCAGGGAATCTCTGTGGGGTCAAATGTTCCCTCCATGAAGGCTGCCAGGGTGGGCATTCAGTCTTGAAGCACTTAACTTGGGAGCACTCAAGTGGGAAGGCTGCTCCTCTTCCTGTGTTGCCTGTGAGTCTGCATGGCCAAGTTAGGTACCTGAATGGGATAGCACTGGGTGGTGCCATCCCAGCCTGCAGCCCCAAGTGATGGAGTCACCATCCCTGGAAGCATTCAAAACCCATGTAGACGAGGTCCTCAGTGCCATGGTTCAGTGGTGGCCTTGGCAGTGCTGGGGAAGGGTTGGGCTTGATGATCTCAAAGGTCTTTTCCAGCCTGGTTGATTCTATGATTCTGGGGAGCCAGGGCAGGCTGCCTGCTGTGGGCACTGCTCTTCCTCCCCACGTCTCTCCCTCATCCCAGAGGTCTCTGATTCACTCTCTGTTTCTGCAATTCAAGGCTAAGCTGTGTCATGGTTCACTATTAGCAAGCCATGTCTGCTGTCACCAGCAAAGGGTTTCAGTGCCTATGTGGGTACTGGAAGTGGAGGGAGGAGAGTGAAAAAGCAGCAGCATCCGCCTGGCAGGCAGCAGGGTGCCCTGGTAAAATACACCGAACCATAAGGATAAACCCAAGTGCCTTTCTTTGGGGAGCAGGGCTCTTAAAGTATTCTTGCCTGGAGATCTGTCTTTCAGGAGTGCAATAAACCCGAGTTAGCAGCTGGAGCTACCTTGTTAAAGTAAAATGGTCAGGAAACACAAAGCTCGCGCTTTGATTTCCAGCTTTGCCTCCTGCTAACTTAATTTGAACACAGTTATTCCTCACTTGTAGGGAAAGCGAAAACTGCAATCAGTTCCTGAATTTGAACACTCGCAAACATTTATAGAGAGCATCTGACTTCTATCTGCTTAGTTTGTTTTCTCATCTAGGGTGGAAGTCAGCTTCTGGTGCAGTGGTGTCTGCTCAGTTCCGCTTCAGGAATGAGGACTCCAGACTTCTGAAACCAAAAGCTTTGCTTCAGTACAAGCTCCTGGATCCCAAACTTGAATTTACTACAAGGGTCCAGTTAGGAAAAAAACACAAAGGATTTGGCACCTGAATTGAAGTGTAAAGTGAGTCAAAGGCAGAAATATGCGATAAAAAGCATCACGAGTCAGTCGGTTCCTAAACCAAGCGTGGGCTTCACAAGGCCCTGCGGTTTTCAGCCTTCCTCTTGGCCTGCAGCAGAACTCCTTTGTGATTTTGCAGGGCCCAAGAGGCTGCACGAGCACTTACCCGCTCCTAAAAGAAACCCAGCAG